GTGTGACAAGGCGCTTATAGTGCCGCTCATAAAGCACTCACAGCACGTCCCGTCGGTGAGCATTTTCTACTCGACACCTAACCAATTCGCCCCGGTTATGTTATCCTGATAGGAGCAGCGAGTCGTAACAACACAGCAAACAAAGGTGTGGGGTTATGTGATTGGCGCTGTAAAGTGGGTTTGGCCAATAAATCAAGACACCTTAGCCTTGTTGTGGCTAATCCCACCTCAGCTCTATTAGTCTGTAATTCAATTCATGTTGTATTTTGCCAAGTGTAGCTTGCTGCATAGTACAGAGGTACAAAACTCATCAACACCTCTGGGGGTAGCAGCAGTTTGAGTCGCATTTGGAAATGACTGCTTTGCCTCATCTTGTTTGAACATTCACATTTTTCTAGAGCTGACATTATCTTGAGTACACTTGGCATGCCTTCAACAGTCATCTTAGCGCTTTGGCAGCCATAGAGTACCCCACACGCCGCATCGAGTCCCACTTTGCGGCCAGCGCACGCGTCTCGACTCACTTCAGCATAATTGCTCGGAGGTGGCGGTGAATAATTGGTCCTGACAGTCACATCCCTGCTCCAGGCGGTTCAAGTGTGAGCTTTTCTTCCACACCGCAGCACAAAACACACCGCCTACCTCGCTCGGAAACAAAAGAGCCTGCGACCTAGATGGGTGCAACACTCACTGTCAAAGAATCGTAATCCGCGGCATGACATTATGATTTCATGTGCTCCCGCTTTCACGTGCGCTGGAGACAGCAACAAACACTCGTTGGCCAGTGTCTGCCGGCCCTGTGCCGGGCCGGGTACCTGTGCCGGGCCGGGTAAAAGTCGCACCGGTCGCTACCGCCCACTAGGAGACAGAGCAACAAACACTCGTTGGCCAGTGTCTGCCGGCCCTGTGCCCGGCCGGGTACCTGTGCCGGGCCGGGTAAAAGTCGCACCGGTCGCTACCGCCCACTAGGCGGTCAGAGGTGATGCCGCGCGGCCGAGCCCGGGTCCTGGAACTGTGTCAGCGGCCGGCGGCGGTTGCCAGGGCAGCAACCGGGCGCTGGCACGCTAGCAGGGCCGCCGAACGTACCCCTGCACGACGTGGCGCGGGAGCGAGCAAAAGCTGGGACACGAGGTGACGCAGCGCACTGGCGTAATGCGCCGGCTGGGTAGGCAGGCGGTTGGGTTGATTGGCTGTGAGCAAATCCGATCGCAGTGAATTTGGAGCCTCACCCCTACCGGCCACGGCGATGACAAGACAGAATGCCAGCCGCTCATAACAGCCTTCCGTGTGCTTTAGGCGGGGTATGCTGTTTTCACGACCATTATTCGGTATTTCTGATGAAGTTTTGCACTCACAACTTATTTTCGGTACATCGCGCTTGGCACATGCCAGAAGTGTTCCCCATCAACTGCCTGAAAAATATAAACCCACTTTATATGCATCCCTTGATTCAAAACCGGCTTGTCAAGTCAGATCCATGCTGCTTCCTCCGCCTGAAAAACCGTTCGAAGTGATTCGTTGTTGTCGCTCTTCAACCAATTATATCTAACTGGATTCAGTCAGTGATGCGTACTGTCATCCTTAGTCTGCCTGGTGTACTCGCGATGTTAGGCTCTCTCTCCGTCATGTGAGTTTCCGCGGCATGTGCTTATATTTTTCGGTTCCCGCTACATTTGAACGATGTCGCAAATGTGTTGTGATTCCAAAGTACACAAAACATCCATCGCTGCCCTTCCTATCAAAATTCTGCTCTAACTTTATATTGCATGGCAAGCAATATTCTCAATATAAATTTACGTATTTACGTTGACTGATAAGCGCCACCAAACTTGCGAATTTACGTTCACTGAAAACTCCATGGTCACTTGCTTCAACAGCACGGTAGCGCGGCTTCGTTGGGCGGCTTCAGGGGACCCCAATACGAATTTTTCGACAACACCTGCGTGCGGTTTAATGACAGATACTGATGACAGTCGACACACCGCTAGCTCAAACATGCAGACTCAGACCCGTGGAACCCGGCTTATGTCAGTCACCTGGTTTGGAGGCTATAAGCGGAACAAGTAATCGCATTTGAAGATTATAATCCGTTCCATCTCCATCATGATGGAGACAGAGTGGGTGTTTGGAGGCCCATTTACATAGACCAGTGTGGGCCTGTTTGCCGCGGTTTTTCCATCGCGTAAGTTGGTTCCGTTCAACGAGTTGCTTGCGCCCTGGCACGACGGGTGGAGCAGAGTCGGGCGGGACGCGAGTGGATGACGCACCAGCCGGATGTGCCGCATCGATGCAATCTGTTCAGTTATTGTGCCCCAAGTAGAGCTGTGTCATCGTCCTCGCCACGCTATCATCAGTCACTCCGCCGCGGATCAGCTGAGCTGTAGAGCTGTTTAAGCTGTAGAGCTGTGCCATCGTCCTCGCCACGCTATCATCAGTCACTCCGCCGCGGATCAGCTGAGCTGTAGAGCTGTTTAAGCTGTAGAGCTGTGCCATCGTCCTCGCCACGCTATCATCAGTCACTCCCTCCGAGTCACGATCTCGCTCCGCCCGCGGATCAGCTGAGCTGTGGAGCTGTTTAAGCTGTAGAGCTGTGCCATCGTCCTCGCCACGCTATCATCAGTCACTCCGCCGCGGATCCACGTTCAGCATCATTAATTCCTTGGACAACTTGCGACCGTGAGTTTCAGTTAGCAGATGTGTTCAGAGCTTGTGCGGGCGCTCAAGCAGGAAGGATAACAAAAACATGTATTTCAACTGCAATACGTCACGTTATTGCCTTAGCCGGTTGCTGAACCATTCAACTGTGTTAACACATGACTTACGTAAGGACAAGATACTAAGCCCGTCATTTTTGTTCACCATCCCAATCTGCCCAGTAGCGCGAACACTTTGCTGCAAATTAGTGAAATCACACAGAGGCTTCCATGCTGGTTATGGTTATAGGTAGCCCGTTTTGAACGTGCTTCAGACAGCTGGTGAAGCAATGCGTCAGCAGTGACGTAACCAACGGTGATGCGATGCTGCGTGAGACAGGCAACCTTGATGACCTTTTTCCCACCCGGCAAAGCGCGTTTCAAACAGTTCCTTCCACCACCGAGCACTCTTGGAGCAGCGTCTGGTCGACCCCGTCATCGCCGCCCCGGTGCGCCAGGGGGCGGAACGGACGCGGTAAGCTGTCACTTCAGCACGTGACACAGCTTCGGTCTCAGCTTGCGGGGGCTGATGGGGCTTAGTGTTTAGGGCGCACTGGATGGAACTGGACAGCGCCAGCCGAGGCGGAGGCGTCGCTTGAACACGTGCCAGGAACCTGAGCATGTCGGCGCAGCCTTCACCAGGTCCACTGACCATCTGAGCTGCCGCAGCTGAGCTGCGTCAGGCTCCACCCGTTGACGCCGTCGCCGGGGAGGAGGCCAGGGCTAACGGAAGGGACCAGAGTTAACCACTTGTTCCTTGTTACAGAAGAGGCAAGCATGCGAGCTTAACAGCGCTACAAGTCGGTGAAGCGACTGAGAACTGCCCGGCTTCCCAGCAAGCGGCCGTTCTAAGTCGACGCAGCGCGAGCGGCCCTCCACACCGAGCCAGCGATCCGGACAATCGTGGATGTGCGGTCCGGTGGGCCGGGCCAGCCTCCCTCTCGCGGAGGACCGGCCGGCGCCAGTGGGGCACGGCAGAGGGTCGGGCCCGCCCACTGGGCCGTGACGGACCGCTTTGTGGACCGTGTCGGGCCCTCGGCTGGAACTGGACCGGCCAACGGACGGTCCAGTCAGCGGAGGTCCCGCCAGCGGACGGACCCGGCGCGATAGGGCAGACGTCGGCCGGAGGGGAGCGTCGCTCCAGAGGAGGCACTCTGGTCCCGAACAGACTGGCCGGCCGGAGGGGAGTGTCGCTGCAGAGCCACGCTCCAGTGCAATGGGACCGGGGGTTAGGCCGGGCCTGCCGCTGTCTGGTGATAAGGGCCGCTGCCTGGGACAGGCCGCTGACAAGGAATGTGGTGAGAGCTGAGGAACTGTGGTGGGAATGACGCGGAATGACACCGCGGAACCGTTGTAAGACCAGGCCTGGAAGCAGCTGACCAGTCATGGGTACGCGTCTCAAAGTCTGGTAGGAGGGTCGCTGACACTGATCTTAATTGGTCAACCTGACAGTGGTCTATACTTCTGGGCCGGAAGCCGGTTCTGCTTAACAAGTTCCCACTACATGATACTTGGTTCGCTCGATTTACTGGGCTTCTAAGCTGCACCTTTATGCTGCACCAGATATGCTATATTTTTACCTTTTCTTTTTGGCTTTCAGTAAGCCAAGAGAAGCAAACTGGGTGAAACGTTTTGTTATTGTTGTCCCAATTCTACCGTTAACAATGCATCTAATTTCAGCAAGCAGCGTGAAGGATTTTTATCAGTGAAACCTGTAGCGATGTGCCATGCATGAATATCTGTTTTCTGCTCAGTGCGATAAAACCCTGTCTTCGACTAAACAGGATCCAAAAACAAAACCCAATGATAGTGATCACGTCACCAGCAAAACCGCGGTAACAGAAAAAACTCAGCGGTGGCAGTTTTATTCCGCGGGGAGTAGTGCATTCTGTACTGCAGTTGGCCTCAAACCCAGCTCACCTGGCCACAGGTGAGCTGGGTTTGAGTTTGACTTATAAGGAAATTATCATACTGTACCCGTTGCGAGAACAAGGAACACTTTGCCTTGACGACAATCAAGGCAGCGACAGGCACATGCGATAACACCGATGCGGGTTTAGAGGCGCGTTCGCTGTTCACCGCCCGGCCATCTCCGCCTTCCCGGCGATCGCGACCGCACTCACAGCATCGCTGGTGACCGGCGTGCCGCTGCTGATGAGCGCGAGCACTTGGTCGGCGTGGCCCAGGCTGGCCGCCAACCGCAGGCGTTCCTCGCGCGGAGCGGCCGGCGCCAGGGGCCGGCCCGCCTCCGGCGGTGGCCCCGGGTACGGCGGCGCTCCGTTCGCCTGGGCAGCCATCAGCTCATGCCGCCGCCTGCGAAAGCGGAGGCGAGTTAGACAGGCGCTGGGTGTGTCGGGCTCATACTGCAAAGACACGGTCTGAGAGATAAGTAGGCTGCTTCGTGTAGATAGGCTATCGTGACGGTTCGAGTCATCGTTCTGTCGGACCGAGGTCCTGTTCAGTACGTTGCAGTGAGACAACCGTGCTAGGAATGTAAATTAACCGAGATGAATAGCTCTCCGCTCAAGCAGCCGGTCACAGCACACCCCGAGGGTAGCGTATCCTCCATGGACGCCCACTTGATACTCTCAGGTCAGTTCAAGCACCCGCGAGGGCGGCAGGTTAAGCCGACGCGCAGAGAGGCACAATAAAGCTGCCGCGACGCAGCGCCGTAAAACACTACGGAATAAAGCGAGCGTCAAAACGGCTCGACGCTTCCGCTCGTAAACACAAGAGACTGGCTCTCGGCCGCTCCAGTTTGTGTCGTCTTAATGGCGGGGACGAGGGGCCCGCCTCGGCGCTGCGGAGGGCCGGTGACGGGCGGAGACGCCGGCGGCGCCGGGCGGGCCGGGAAGACCGCTGGGTGAGTCAGGCCTCCGACCGGACGTGCCGACAGGACGGCCCGACTCCGAGCAGAGCTTCACTGCGGGGCTGGCCCGGCTCCACCGCCAACTGGCATGCAAGCCCGACGAGATGCCACGGAGCGGAGGCGCGGTCGGAGACGGCGAGCAGCCTAGCGCGGCTGCCGCGATGAGGCGGGCGAGCTGCGAGACGCGTGTCTGCGTTAGGCCCGACGGGTCCGCGGCCGGCGTGGCCGAGACGCTGCCGACCGGCAACGGTCAGCACTGGGTGCGGCCGGCCGAGGTGGTCCGAAACGAATCCATTATGGCGGCTGGGAGTAAAGTGAGGCCCGTTCGGCGGCCGGCCGCAGCGCACGCCGCCGCCGCCGTCTGAAAGACACCGGGTCGTCGCCAGATGGCGCAGGCGACGCTAATCGCCGCCGCGCCGGCCGGCCATCTCAATTACAGGACATTAGCCGGCGTGCATGGGATGCGGCGCCGGCGGCGGCCGCCGCGCGCCCCATCACCGCACCGTGACTGTAGGAAACCGCGCGTCGCTGGCGCACGTCGGGCTCAAGCGGCCACCTCTGCTGCGGCCCGGTGCACGGGCTGGGCCCAGGCTGCTCCGTCCGCCGGCCAGACGTCTGGCTCCAGCCGGCCGCACCCCGCTGCAGACTCCGGGGGCGGGACGCGCGCGCTCCCTACGCCGACTCATGAAACGACCGGCAAATACACCGCACACCGCGCTGTCAGCTCTTAAGAGTATACCAACTAATGGCGAAAACGCTACCTAAGTGCAACCCAGGCCCGACGGTAATCAGAAAATAGCATCGGACCATCATCAGGTAACGCTAACGATCGCCAGATAATAGTGCTAGATCAATCAAAATCCCCGGTTTATAATCTGCAAAAGAAACGAGGCGAATGACCAACTATCAATTTTATGAGACGATCCAGAGGTGCGCTCTTGCCGTGGACGTCCCGCTGGGCAGATCCACCTTTCACTGCGGCCCGGCTGGCGAGGTGGAGCATGACCTGCGCCGGCCAACGCTTGTGTTTTCACCGTGAGGCGCCGCGCGAGGGCCGACCCGACCTGACCTAACGCGACGGTAAACATCTCCCGTAAAAACGGCCTGCCGGCACGGTTTCACAACTTCTCAACACCTGACCGCTGTTGGCGGAGGCGGTACTTTCACTAATGCGCGGCCACAAGACCAAAAACGCCACTGCAGAGCTCGCTGCCGACAGACCGCGGCCTAGACCAGCGGCTAGTGCGGCGCATAGCCATTCACGGCAGCACACAGCGGCCCATGTCACGGCCTCGTCCGGCGGACAGAGGCGACCAATGATCGACACGCAAGATATTACGGACCGGCGACATGCCACCCCTCGCCGCCGCCGCCGCCGCCGCCGCCGCCGCCGCCGCGTGGCTCGCCTGACCGTACCGTTCAGCTGACCCGCGCCCAGTGCGGGCCCGCCCGCTCGGACGGGTTTAATTAGGCTGCTCTCATCGGCCGACACGGCGCTGCCTGACGCCACCGCCGAGCGCCGTCGATCGCATCGCTTCATCGCCGGCCGAAATTGGCCGCGCGATTGGCTCAATGGGAAGCAAATAACTGTAGTCAGGCTGCGGATCTCGGAGCGAGGAGCCCGGGACGCGAGGGAGCCGCCGAGGTGGCATTTAACTAACGGTCCACCGGCCGGCCGGCCGGACAGCGCTGCCCGGCCGGCGTAAGTGAAACAGACGGAGAGGAGCGCGGCAGAGGGGCGAGCGCCGCCGCCGAGCGGCCCGCGCCAAGACGAATGACGCGTCTGGAGCCCGCTCAGTCGGACGGTGCGCCGGCGGACCCGGCAGCGGCCGAGCTAAACACCGGACCGGAGCGGGCAGACCGCTCGTGCGCCCCAGCGGACGTTCGCCTTCGTCGCGGTGCGACACTCCCCAGCGGGTGAATCCCGCTGAGCCGGCGACCAGTTTAGCGAGTGACTCCTCACGGTGACCATAAATCCTGACGGACGCGTTGTGACGTCGCCGACCGCTGCTGTCGCCCGCGCCGTGCCGCCGCGCCACCGTGCCGCCGCGCACGGTGGCGCGTCTTGCGCCGCCGATCCTCCGCCGGAGACGGGCGCGACGCGGCGCGGCCGCACAAAGGCGCGCGACCGGCGGAGCGTGGGCGGTCGTCGGGGGCGGTCGGACGCACGCGCGGCCCCGGGCGCCGCCGCCGGCCGTCGCGGGAAGGCGTGACGTCGTCAGATGACGGGCTGCTGGCCGAAGGTGACGCGCTCCCACGGTCGCGCGCCGTCGCGCAGCCGACCAACAAATCACGCGCACAAAAAAATTAAGGGCGTGTCGGCTCCAAGTGGCGTTATTGCACGCACTTCACGACACGGACTCGGGGTGACTTCCGCGTCACTTCTGTACATTCACGATGCAAATGACAACCGAGTCATGGATACGTTGGGGGCTTCCAGTACCATTTCCTAAACCTCGGAGATTCTATTTTTGTTCCCCGAGCAGTTTTACACAAGTGGACTTGCCAGTTTGCTCATTCCCATCATTGTGCAGCACATACCACATGTCATTTTCAGACTTCGGGACTGATCCGCCCACCCCTGAGCACAGGTGACAGGCCCACCGGGCAAAAAATCCCGGCCGCACAGGTTCACCGGAGACAGATCGACGGGAAGATAGACTTCCGAGTTGGGTCCGGCTGTAGCTCCGGCCGGGCATGCCGGACCCGAGACACGGCCGGAATCCGCCGGCGTCCGGCCATCGTAAACAAACAGGCGAGATTGCGGGCAGATGCGTCGGCGGGGTATTTTGTTTTCGCGCGGTACTGGTGGCGCACGTGCCCCGTGCTGCCCGGAACTTCGCCTCGCGCCGAGGAATGATGGTGCCACACCACGCCAGGGAGACTGAAGCACGCCCGCGGTGCTGAAGGCACACACGTATGTACGTCGGCATCGTTTGACAATCGAAATGGCGGATAGGGCATCTGGAAAGAGATGGACAGGGGTTGGGTGAGCTCAAAATGGCTCGGCCAGAGAAAACATGTCATGGATGGCACGAAACTGTAGGTAGCACCCTGTCCTGCAAGGTGCCTGAAGCTTGTGCCTGAAGCTTGTGCCAAGAGTCGAACTCAGAAGTCAAACATGCGCAGCCAAATTTTTCTCTTTGTGTATTTCATAGGAACGGCAGTTGACGTATAGCCCTCAGCGCACGCATTTGCATGCCTGCGTGGAATCGTGATACCATGGCGAGATAAACATTCCGGATGACTTGGTATCGCAATATGTCTTGAACGCAGTGACTTGCGTTTTTAACATGCACTTGTGCAACAGGTAGGCCATGCACGTTGTCATGCAATTGTAGAAGGTTAAAAGAACGCGTGCTGATACACAGTTACTAGGCGATTCCTAATTTCATCCAATAACCGGTAAAAATGTTCGAGCATTCGAGCCATTGGTCTTTCGTACAATACGCTAAATTGAAAACAGTCGTAGCAACTACTTTTAAAAAAAAAAGACTCGTCGGCCAGACATGTAAACATCACGTGAGGTAATCATGCCGTATCCCACCACTCTCAGTAGACAACCGTGTCCCGTGAACTCGGTGGAAGGCTTGTCTGAGCTCCTGTGAACTTTTGCCTTATCTAGGCAAGCCATGGAGCTTGAATCCATAATCATCCATGGGAATACATACACACATACGCGGACTCGGAGGCATTCATGCATGTGTTTCCGAATGAACCGCCGGACCAATAAAACCTGTCGACAGGACAAAGGAGCTACTTGCCTGAAAGGACACCTGTCCGTAATATATAGCATATTTTACAAGCATGTGGTCGACAGCGCAAGAGCCTCCGAGAAGGAAACTTACGATGAGATATCATGTCTGACAGATAATTTCTTCAATGCATTCGTTTGGAGATGACCTTACAATGCCGTTTACAACCCCGAGCGGCGGGCTCCATACGTTTCCGCCCGGCTCTGAGCCGTGAGCGTCGTCGCTACTGCGCCCGTCACCCGACCGCAAACCCCACTGTGGGCCCGCTCTCCGCCTCCCCGCCAATATCCGAGGGCGCGTCCTCCAACGCGACATAAGCTGTAACGACGTCGGCTGCGATCTCGGCCACGCCGACCTCCACTCGGCGCATCGCTCGATCCCCGCTCGTCGTCCGCACCCACACCCGCCGCGGAACGCGAGCCCCACTCGTCAGGCTTAATGGAGCGGCGCGGTGCTCGCCGCTCGGATTTCATTACTGCTCGCTAAGTGCAACGTGTAACGGCGCCGACAATGGCGGCGTAATTGCGGGCAGGGCGGCGATCGGACTGACCCGGTCCGGGCCGCTCGTGGGAGAGGTCCGGCGGTTCGACGGCGCGCTAGCCGCCGGCAGCGACGACTGCTCTGCCGGAGGGAGGAACAAGGAACGGCTAGATAGAGAGGTGAGGGGTCTACTGGAGGGAGCTACCTAC